GGGAGAGGAGCCCCGGCAGCCCCTCAGCGCGCGGCGCACCTCGCGGCTCGCACCTTGTCGGGGTCACAGCTACCTTCAGTCAGGTCTCGAACGCAAGCCCAGGACTCCCTCTGCACGCCTGCCTTCCCTCCTGCTTGGAAGTGAGATCATAACTGAGGGGGGTGGCCCTGCCGGGGTGGCTCAGCGGCGGAGCGTCGACCTGGGATCCAGGAGGTGAGGGTTCGATTCCGGGTCAGGGCAGGTGCCCAGGTTGTGCGCTCGATCCCCAGTAGGGGGCGTGCAGGAGGCAGCCGATCAGTGACTTCAGCATTGATGTTTCTCTCTCTCCCTCTCCCTTCCTTTCTTTGAAATCAGTAAAAAAAAAAAAAAAAATTACAAATAAATAAATAAAAACATATTTTAAAAAGTAAGTAAATGAGGCGATGGATTGAAGCCACTTGGAGGGGAAAAGTTTAGCGTGCTCTTTTAAACCTCTTTAATGTTTTAGTATCAAGAGAAGTAGAGGTGACTTGGAATTGGCTTACGGTTCCTGTAGTTATGGCCTAAGATCTACTGAAATATCCGCTGGACAGGTATTTATTGGGCATGAACTGTGTGAGCAAGGTACTGTTCTGAGTGCCGGAGAGATGGCGAACAAGTCAGAAAGGTCTTGGCTCTCAGGGAACTTTCATTCTGGTAGGGGAGACAGATGGTGAGCAAACCAAGAAGCTGAGGATTGAAGGAAATAAGCAGGATAATTAGATGGAGCAATAGGAGATGGGGCTGCGTCTGCTTTGGCCCTCATGGGCCAGCGTTCTAGGCAGAGCACATGGTGGGTGGGAGACCCTACAGCAGGAGGAGTGAGGGGAAGGCTGATGTGTCAGGACTGTGGCGAGTGAAGCAGAGGGTGGCACAAAGTGAGGTTAGAGAGGTGGCAGCACCAGAGTTTACACCGGCTTAGAGCTAGTCCGTGGGAAAGAGTGTGGAATTTATTATGAAGGCAAACAAAAATTCTTTTCAGCATGCATCTTTTAAAAATAACATTTCTCTATAGTGGAAGACTCTTATCTATGTAGGGGAAGAAATCTTTAATAATAATTCCAGTAAGCCGGTGTTGCTCAGTGGTTGAGTGTTGACCCATGAACTAGGAGGTCACCGTTCAATTTCCGGTTAGGGCACATGCCCAGGTTGTGGACTGGATCCCATCATTGGTGTTTCTACCTCTCTCACCCTCTCCCTTCCTCTCTCTAAAATCAATAAATAAAAAAACATGCCCTCGTCCACCCCACATGCCATCTTTAAAAAAAAAAGAAGAAAAAAAAAATTCCATTGCCACCTGATACCCAATTATGCAAATTTTTCTCATAATTCCCAAAAAGACTTTTTTGGTTGCTTCTTGTATGTGCCCTAACTGGGGCCAAAAGGACATTTTTTTTAGTTGGTTTGTGTACGCCAGGATCCATGCATTTAATCTGGTTCTTATGTTCCTTAGATCTCAATTTCTCTCTCTCTTCATGGTGTTATTTAGTTTGTTCCTCTATCCCCTTTAATTTCCTGTAACCTAGATATTAGATCAAAAGCTTTGATAGAATTAAATAACACTCCCCCCACCCCTGAATACATCATAGGTAAGTGTGATTTAAAGTGTTGAAAGACCATCCAGGTCTGCCCCTAATGTTTGTGGTATTGTGGCTAGAGTTCAAGTGGGAGTTGCCCCTCCTCTTCTCACCACCACAGGTCTCACACATGTGTATGGACATCGAAGCTCCATTCCCTCTGCCTCCCTCCCCCCACACACACCTGCCTGTGGCCTTTCCTTGGATTTAGGAGTATATATACCAGCGGTGGGGTCCACCTCTGGGAGTGAGGATCCAGGAAAGAGGCCCATGCAGCAGAATGAGTATTCCAAGTTTGTGCCCCAAGTAAAAACTCTGGCTGCCTTTGACATTAATTTGGAAATGTTTGCCCAAAGCACCATTTGCTGGTTGTGCACACCTGCTCTCTCCTTAATGCTGTATGGAGACAAAGGAACCAGAAGAGAATCCTCTACTTCTGTGAAAACTGGTTGAATCCTAGGCTATCACAGAATACTTGGCAGTCTTTTTACTAAAACTGGGTTCAAGTAGGTTGCCTCCCGGAATTCAGGTTGAAATCCCTTTCCTGTGCTCTGTTTCCTGCAATACATGTAGCTGCCACGAGATGGTGATGGTGCTCAGAAAAAGGCTGTTAGGTACTCAGGGGCCTCTTTGGAAAACAGTCTGTAGTAAAATTGAAGGTAGGCACACCTCGTAACCCAGCAGTTAGGAACAGTAAACAGTAGAATGGATACCAGCATTGCGGGATATTGATACTGTTTAGCAAGGTAAAAGAACAGTTTAACTACACGCAATAATGTTATAAATGTAATAGTAAGCAAATGATGCTAGACACAATATTACACATACAGTGTGATTCCATTTCTATAAAGTCCCAAAACAGGCAGACATGAACTATAGTGTTTAGGGATGTGTCTGTATAAAATTTTAAATTTATTGATTGATTTTTAGAGAAAGAGAGGAAGATACAGAGAGAGAGAAAGAGAGGAACATCGATTTATTGTTCCACTTATTTATGCATTCATTGGTTGCCTCTTGTATGTGCCCTGACCGGAGATCGAACGTGCAACCTTGGCCTGTTGGGATGATGCTCTAACCAACTGAGCTATCCTGCCAGGGCCTAAAAATTATTTTTAAATTAAAAATATAAAAGGTTCTGCTTAGTAAAAATTTGTTATGAAATTATTACAAACCAAGAAGGTTTACCTCTGAGGGAGGGAATTGGATCAGGAAGGGACACACCGAGGCTTATGGACTGGCGACAGTGTTCTAGGTCTTGTCCTCGGTGCTGGTTACATGGACATTCGTTTTGTCATTGTTAAACGCTCCCTGTATGTGTGGTTTGCAGGGGTGGCCCTGTGCCAGCCTCTAGGGCTATAGACAGGTGTGTTCTTGGTCCACACCTACTGTGTGCCAGGGAGGGGCCTTGATCACATTATTTAATTCTCTCTGCCCATTTTACCATTGAAGAAGCTGAGGCTTAGAGAAATTGAGCTGCTTGCTCAGGTCACCTGAATCCTCAGAGGCAGTACTGGAATTCTAACTGGATTGGCCCACCACGAGCCCCAGCTCCGTCCTCATGCTCCATCCTTCCCTCACTTACCAGTGAGGCTCCTGCAGTCATACATCTTTCTGCTTAAGAGGAAATTCCTCAGCCATCCACCTGTGGCAGGTTTCCCCTGACAGGAAGGTGGTGTCCAGGTTCTCACCCCTGCTCCCTTCCTCACTAGCTCAGAAGTGGCCCCAGGCTGTCCTCACCGATGCCAGGGCAGCCGCCACCATCCCTTCCTGACTTGCAGAGACCAATTTCCCATCCTCTTAGGTCTAGGCACAAGCAGGGTGTGTGTGCGCGGGAGTGTGTGTGTTTGTTATTTATGTGAATGTATAATTTATTCACATGGTACAAAATTTAAAAGGTGGTGAAAGGTAACTCCCTCTGCAGCCTTCTCTGTGGCTCTCCAGTGTCACTAGTTTCTTGTGTAGCCTCCCAGAGATATTTTCAGGGTTTACAAACATGTATTTGTCTATATGAATACTTGGTTTTTTTAAAATATCTTTATTGATTTCAGAGAGAGGAAGGGAGAGGGAGAGAGAGGGATAGAAACATCAGTGATGAGAGAGTCATTGATGGGCTGCCTCCTGCATGTCCCCGACCGGGATCAAGCCCCGATCTCCTGGATCCTAGGCTGATGCTCAACTGCTGAGCCACGCCCGGCCGGGCTGAATACATTTTTGCATGTTCTACACATGTAGTAATATAATGTCTATATTATTTATTTACTTTTAACTTAGCAACATCTTTTTTTTCCATATACAGATTGTATAAATTTGTTTTTATTTTTTACTTAGCAACATATCTTGACACCCCTGCCGTGTCAGTCCGTGGGAGCTGCCTGGTCCTTTGTAAAGCACCCGGCGCTCCGTGGCATGGGGGACCGAAGGTTAGCCGGCCCCTCGGGGATGGATGTTTATTCATTTCCCTTTTGCTCTCAGTGTTTCAGTGGGGTAACCTTAAGTCAAAACTATATTACAGTGTTTGTGTTCAGTTTTGGTTAATTCTCACCCAAGGATAGTTTTTCCATTGATTTTTGGAGAGTGGAAGGGACGGAGGGGGGGGAGGGGAGGAGAGGGGGAGAGAGCGAGGGGAACATCGAGGGGAGAGACACAGTGAGAGACACATCAGTTGGTTGCCTCCTGCACACGCCCCAGCCAGGGCCGGAGATCGAACCTGCCGCCCAGGTACATGTGCCCTTTGATGGGAATCAAACCAGAGACCCTTCTGTGTGCCGGCCGACGCTCTATCCACTGAGCCACACCGGCCATGGCTAATACAGGCTTTTTAAAGACGTCTCCCTCCATTCCTGGCTCTTCCACAGCCCTTCCCTCATAAAGAACCAGCAGATGTGAGCATATACACATATGTATATTTGTCCCCCCAACTCCCTTCTTCTACCTAACGGGACTGTTCTGTCCCTCAAATTTGAAATTTCAGAGAGAACCATTTTCAAGATGATAAAGTAAAACCCAAGAACTAATAATCCCAAATGAAGATTTTGACTTGGGATGGGCTGCGGGCGGGTCCTCAGATGTGGTAATGTCTGGGGCCCTGCTCTCCAAGGGCTCACCCAGCCCCCAGGCGCCAGGCGCTGGCTAAGCATTTGTCGGCTTGACCTCATTTAGTCCCTGGGACGATCCTTACACCCTCCTGCCCTCCCAGCAGCAGTGCCCGACTTGCTGTGTGACCCAAGGCCACCTACCTGCCCTCTCGGAGCTTCCAGCTTTCTCATCCTGGGCTGCTCTTGGGGGCTCCCCTCTGCCTCTCCCAGGGGTTTCTATGGTTCCCTACACCCAGAAAGGCCCTTTTTCTGTCCTGTCTGGTTTGTCCAAAACGTTCACCAGCCAGTCCCAACTTGTTTTCCTTTTTGCTTGGTAACTTTTTTTAAATTGCAGCGTGGTTAACACAGCAGAATGCACACACCTTAAGTACAGTGTATGTACCTCTGTAGCCAGTCCCTTAATCACGACATAGAAAGGTCCCTCGTGCCCTCTCCCAGTTAGTCTCCCACCCCAAGTAACCCCTGTCCTAACCTCTAACTCCATTAGTTTGGATTAGTTTGGCCTGTTCTTGGACTTCATGTAAGTGGAATCACAGTTTCTTTCACTCAACAATGGGTCAGCGTAAGAAACATCCAAACCTGTAGAGACTTTATGAGTTTGAGCCAAACTGACAATTGCAGGGAAGCAAAATCTCAGTGGATTGAGAAAATGCTCCAGAGAATCGCAGTTTTACAGCTTATTTTATACATTAGAATCAAAGGAGGAGACAAAAATTCATTGCTGGTAGATCAGATAGCGTTGCCATTTGATCTTCCCCTGGCCTTGGTGGCAGTGTCCTGCCCAGACACGCCTCGGTGTGATGATACTAAGGAGAGAGTTAGTCTTACTGCAGCCGTAAGTCCCATCCCCCAGCCGAGTTCCGTCTGCGAGGTGGGTAGGAGGCTGGGTCGCACTCAGCGCAGGATGGTGCAGATGTGTCTGCGAAGCCGGTGCTGCCCCCCAGCATTGGCACTTGTCCCCGTGCTTGACCAAGCCTGGCCTCTGCCCCACGGCAGGGTTAGTTTTCCTCGGAGCTTCTAGAGGGACACCCTTTCCCATGGGAGTGGCAAAGGGCTCCCCATCTCCTGGGACTTTGGGTGAATTACTCAACAGCCTTGGCTTCTTCCACTAAAATGGGGGTAATAACAATACTTTGTGGGGTTCAGTTGTGTTTCCCAGCATATGTCCAGGGAGTTTCCGCAGCTGCAGGTTCCTGGGTACAGAGGGACACCAGAGAGTGGGGCCCTGCCTTATGGTGCCCAGTGATAGGGACAGACAGCAGGCCCGAAGGCTGTCTACAGGCCCAGGCTGTGCCAGGTGCTACACTGGGTGAAGGGGCACTGAGGGAGGATTGACAGGGAAGGCCCCTGAGTGTCTCGCAGGGAGGGACCTCTCCATCAGAGCCTGCCTCCTTCTCCTCGCGACTCCAGGAACACCCCTCAGCCCCTTCCCTCCCTCAGATGTATCCTGTGGGCCACAGCCCGGATCTCAGAACTGCAGGGTCCAAGGTGGGTAGGGTCTCAGGGAGCTGTCCCATGCAGCCCCCCAACCCTCTGCAGTTCAGTCCTTCCTCCCACCCCCAGCCCACCCTGCTCACTGCTTGAAAACCCTTCCAACAGATACTCCTGGAGCGCCCCTTGCTTCTGGCACCAAGGACTGGTGGCAGTAAAACAGCTGAGGTTTTTTTTTTTTTTTACAAAAGCACCTGTGAGCACTAAATGAACTTCCCTCCATGTGGCTTCAAGCTCCCAGGTGCCCCCAACACCCTTAGTCTCTTCCTCAGCTCTTCTGCTGAGAACTTGGCCTTCGCAGTGACAGGCCGCCGTGGGGCCTTCCCCTCCCGACTCTGGTAGCTGATGGCACTGTGTCAGCAATGGGAGCAGCTCCAGTCTTGTTTCGGGCAGCATTTACATGCCTGCTCCCTGACCAAGGTCCACAATTTACTGGGTTGACAGTTAGAAGCTTTCATTCCTCTTTAAGGGCTTGTGCCTCACACCAGCTTTCCCAGAGTAACCTGGTGGTATTTGTCGGAGCTGGCCCTGTGGCCAAGCAGGCCACCTCGGCCTCTGGGGGCTTCCTGTGCTTCTGATGCAGCCATGGCCGTGGCCCACGTGGCCCTGGAGTTTGAGTCTTCCTCAGGCTGCAAGAGGAAGCTGAGGTCTCGATCTCTGACGCGCACCTCCTGGGGGCTCGGCAGGCAGTGCGCAGGAAGCCGGTCAACAAAGGCAGTTTCTAAGCATCTGAACAAAATGAGCTGGGGTGGGGAGGGGAGTCCCCTGGCCGTGGTGGGGAGCTCCAGGGCACCCTTACTGCTGAGGAAGCAGTGAAGTGCCAGTTACCAGCAACAGGGTGGCCACTTGTGAAGCTCTGGGACCAAACGGTCCCAAGGGTGGGCTGAGGTTGGTGACTGCCATGAGTGGTGAGGAGAGGGAGAAGGGCCCGGCCAGTTGGTGCAGGGCAGTGAAGACCACGGAAGGGAATTTAGATTTCATTTGAAACACAATGGGAAGTCCCTAAGGGCTAAATGGATAAAACCTTTAAAAACGTTTTCTTACAGAGCAGGACTCTCACTGACCCAGGTACTGCTAGGGGAGGGGCATCAGTGCCAAATCTGGGCAGACTCTTGCCGCTGGAGGAGGAGTGTCCCTGCCAGGGGCCCCATAGGCACCTGTCCCCTCTTGCTGGGGAAGACATCCTAGCTGAGACAGCCTGTGGGCAGCCCTCTGCTTGTTTTAGGGAAGCAGGGGAAGTGAGTGGGCTGTGACTCACTCCTGATTGGACACTCAGGTCTGTTCCTACCCTGCTGTGCAAAGAGCTGGAAGCCCTTCCTCTGCATGGAGCAGGACCCTGAGTGTGGGGCGCCATGATGGCGGGAAGCTTAGTCCCTCACAGAAGTCAGCTTCCTGCATTGAGTAGCCAGTGCTGTGCAGTGAGCATCTGTCCCCTGGGCCGAGAGGTCACCAAACCAAGGGGGCAGTGCTCATAGACCTGATGTGAGAGAATGGGAGGTCGAGAATGGGAGGTCTGGCCACACTACCTGAGCCATGGCTTGATCCAGCACCACAGCTGGCCTTTTTTTTTGTCCCCCAGAATCCTAGTAACAGTGTTGTGAAAATGACACTAAAATGCTCTAACCTCTTAATAAATTGTACTGTATCCGTAAAATGGTGCACTGCATAAGCACTAAATGATGCCATGATTGTAGATTTATTGGCACAGAAAGATGGTCACAACACATTAAGTGAAAAAGCTGGAGTATAAAACATTAAGAGTAGATTTTTATGAACTATATATTTACATATTTAAAAATCATGGGATGGCCCGGCTGGGCGTGGCTCAGCGGTTGAGCGTCGACCTGGGATCCAGGTGATCAGGGTTCGATTCCCTGTGAGGGCACATGCCCGGGTTGTGGGCTCGATCAATGACTCTCTCATCATTGATGTTTCTCTCTCTCCCTCTCTCCCTCTCCCTGGAATCAATAAAGATATATTTAAAAAATAATAATAAAAATAAAAATCATGGGATGTCCCAGGCCGGGTGTGGCTCAGCGGTTGAGCATCGACCTAGGATCCAGGAGATCGCGGTTGGATTCCCAGTCAGGGCACATGCCCGGGTTGCAGGCTTGATCCCCAGCTGGGCGCATGCAGGAGGCAGCCGATCAGTGACTCTCATCATTGATGTTTCTCTCTCCATCTCCCTTCCTCTCTCTCAAATCAATAAAGATATATTAATAAAAAATAAGTAAAAATCGTGGCATGAAAAGCAAATGTTAAATGTCTGGGTGGGAGGGTTAAGATGGTTTATATTTTGATTTCCAGTATTTTTAGCTTTATTGAGTTGCAACTGACATATAATAAACTGCATATTTACAGGTAAATTTGGTAAGTCTTGACATATGTATATACCGGTGAAACCATCAAAGATAGATTGTGGGTTTTGTTTTTGTTACTTTAAAAAAAAAAGAAAGTATGTCAACCACTAGACTGGCTGGACCAAGGGGGAGGTGCCCACTTCCAGAGGGCTAGGATGTGGCAGGCAGGCAGGCCTTTCTGGAACCCTGAAAGGGAGGGCTGGAGACCAGAATGGACTTTGGATCCCTTGTCCCTCGGCCACCTTCCCACAGGCCTGGGCCCTTCCCTGGGACTCAGTGGGCAGAGAGAAGCAGTAAAGGGAGAAGGGAGGAGGCCCAGGGCTGAAGCATCCAGACTTATCTTGCTTTCCCCCAGGAGGCCTCTGCAACCTGTGCTCAGACAGGGCCAACAAGGAGCACATCCTGCAGACAGGGGGCATCCCGCTCATCATCAACTGCCTGTCCAGTCCCAACGAGGAGACTGTGCTGTCCGCTGTCACCGCAATCATGTACCTGAGCTCGCCCGGCTCCAGCTCCCACCCTGAGCTGACCGCCATGCCTGTGGTCCAGTGCATGCTGCGCTTCTCTCTCTCGGCCAACACGAGGCTCCGGAACCTGGCCCAGATCTTCCTGGAAGACTTCTGTTCCCCAAGCCAAGTGGCTGAAGCCCGCCGCCGGCCGGCTCACTCTGCCCTGGGTATCCCACTGCCAAGGACCGAGGCCCCACAGCAGCCCTGACCCACGGACACATCAAGGCCATGGTACTCTTACTGCCAGAGACAAGACTGAAATCCTGGTGGGGGCTCAGGAAGCAGGAGCCGTAGAGCTCCCACTGAGCACTTTCTCCCCACATGGCGCCTTTTCAGCCATTTTAAAGGTGAGTTTTCTCAGCCTGACAGGTATTTACACTGTGATGAATGGCATTAGGAGATGGGTTGAGGAAGACAGACTTTGAGACACGTGGCGAAGGAAGTGAAAGGCAGTGGCATTTTCATGGGCTGGCACTCGACCAAGGGAAGGTGAAGGTCCTGCCTCATCCGCCCACTGCCAGGCTCACTCTCTCATGTAAGAAGCACCCTGGTCCCTAGACCCAGAGGCTTTTGCAGAAGGCAGCCCTGACCGCAGCCAGGCCTGGGGCTCAGGAACACTGCTCGAGCTTGAGGAAGTAGGCACGGCCCCTCCACAGACATGTCTGGATTAATTTTGAGGAATAGGAATGAGTCTCAATGCTAAAACTGTCTCGAGGCTCTGGGAAGCTGGGTACCTGCCCACAAGCTCTCCAGGCTGGTGCTGGGCATGGTGGGTGCTGGCCTAGAGAACTCTATGGCCCAAGATTAACCATTTATCCACAGGCCTGTCTGCCAGGCACAGTGTGAGGGCTTCAAAGATGAAGTGGTCCCTGCTCTTGAGTGATGCAGCCCAGTGACTGTTACTGTGGCCAAAGGGCATTAGGACCAAGGCCATGAGGGTGATGACATCAGAACACAGGCACAAACCCTTGGAGCTGCGTCTTCTCCCCACACCCCATGGCCCTGGCCCTCCTCTGCCACCAGGGTTAAACGAAGGGGAGTCCTTGCCCCTGGAAGTACATTTCAAGCTCAGGAGGTCTTCGGGGATGCAAGCAGAGGTGTGCAGGGAGACAGAGGGCTAGATATCGACATAAAGCGTGCGGCTTGCAGTCCACAGTGTGTTGGTCAGCACAGGGCAAGGGGTGTGGGACACCCATGGAAGACTCCGGAGCAGTGGGGAGTACTGGTCCTCTGTTGTCCCCTAAGGTTGACCTCTTACGTCCAGGGTACGGGACCAAGGAAAGGCAGCTGCAAGAGAAACGGCACCTGGGTGGGAGTGGAGGTTGGGCAGGTCCTGGGGCCTCTGGAGATGGAGGAACGGGAAGGCCTCCTCTTCAGCCTCCATTCCAACTCCACAAATAAAGGGCCTGAAAGGAGCAGTGCGCCAAAGTGTTTTATTAAAAGGTTCCTGACTGATTTCCCATGCCAGCCATCTCTGGAGGTGCCAGGTGGCTGGCCTGTGAGAGTAGAGGTTACTGTGTCTCCCTGCTCCCCAGTACTGGGGTCACCACTGCGCCGCCGCCTTGTCACTCAGCTCTGCTGGGTCCTTGCTGGCCTGCCTTCCCTTCCTTCAGTGACTGTCCACAGCCTTCGTCCCAGTGGCTCCCCGTTTGCTGTCTATGATCTCCCTCCAGTTGTCACTCCAGGAGAGCAGCCGTCTCCTTGTCGGGGGCAGGGCCAGGTGCTGGTTGTGGCAGCAGGTGAACAAGATGTGTTCCCAGCTTGGGATCTCCTCTTGGCCTGGGACAGGGTATGGGAGAAAGGCAGCGAGCATGCAGTCTCTACCCTGGTTATTTTTGCTCCCTCCCCCCAAGTCCCAGCAGGCCAGATGCCTGGAGGTTCCCAAGGAAAACAGATCCAACCTAGAATGGTGTCCTTGTCATCAATGAGCAGGTCCCCCAAGACCACCGTCTTGTCCCTTGTCAGGATAATGCGCTCCACAAACTGGGGCCCCAGGTGCTTGTCCACCCAGCGGAACTGTGTAGGGGACACAGGTCTGTCAGTAGGGTCTTATGGGCCCCTGAGTTCAGGGCCAGTGAGAAGTAGTGTGAGTGGGGTGGGCGGCAGGTGACAGGCAGCTCCCCCCTCCCCACCCGCACTTCCTCCTCCTGCCGGTTTAGTTTGGAGCCAGGACTCAGGAAGCCGGGTCTGTCTAGCAGGTGCTGGGCAGCCTCACCTTCTCGCCCACACAGTGGTCGTACTTCATCAGAGGGCTGGTGCAGATGAAGACCTCCGTGCTGCGGGGAAGGGGCAGGTCAGCCCGGGCGGTGCCAGCCCTGCTCCCCACCACCCCGCCCTCCCTTCCTCACTCCTGCATGGCGTTCATCGCCTGCATGGCTTCCAAGGCTCCGGGGATGGGCTCCAGGTCTAGGAAAAAGCCTGGGGCTTCATACACACTGGCGACTTTGTCCTGAAAGATACAGTGTTCCCATCCCGGGTTCTGCCTCGGCAGATGCAGCCCGGCGAGGATCTCCCAGCGAGGCGAGCGGTGGGGGAGGGGAGGCTTTTCTTACGCTCGCGTGAACCGTGTCTTCCGAAGTTAAAGTTAGTTTTGCTAATTTGAAACAGCAAGGGGATGCCTCGGGAAATAGAGCAGAGACCATCCTGCCCCTGAGGAGGGCTCCCCACTCGGAGGGGTCCTGTGGGGTCGGGCTGCCCGCTCCCGGGGCGGCC